GCCCACAAAGAGATTCTTCACAAGTATTTCATCACTTTTGGGATCCACTAAAGGCAGCGAAACTATTTTAGTCGCCTCAGCAAAGTTGGTCGAGTAGTTGAACACCTGGATCTGTTTGTAGTGATTGTTGGCAGACATTCTTCGTATGGCGTATGCGTTGATACAAACTTTGGGAAGTTTTACGGTTTTGTTAAATACAGACAAATATGTTACGAGTTTTTTGCCAAACATTGACTTAACACGAGCCCAAGAGTTGCGTTCAATTTATATACGAAATGAGGTTTAGTTTGAAAATAGAGTTCATTTCATGATAACAAATTCAAGTATGAATTCAGTTAAAGTGTTTTAATCAAAACATTGAATGCGAGTCGACTCACTACAAAATGTCCTGGATATTATCGTACCGGCTTACCATTATTAAGCCAATTACCACACAGTGAATGACAATCAAAAAGTGTTGGTATATTAATAGTTATTATGCTCGTCCTCGTCTATACCGTAGTAGTTGTCCTCAATTAGTACTCAAGAGTTAAAAAATACTTACCCTGGACTTCACAATACTGTATTTAATCAGTATATTGTAATCTAGTATAGTTATCTTGAAATATTAATTATTTCATTTATATAACTCTTGATGTTAGCCATGAATTAACTAATTTGATGTATAAGTAAAATTTTATCAATAGATATAAGGCAATATTTATAATAAAAACTTTATAATACTTAAAAGTATAACACAAAGTAATCTACAGTATTATACAATTTGTATGAATCAATTTAATTGCACTAATATTGCACTCCAATAGCATAGCTATTACTACAGTATAAGTCAAATGAATTCAACATTAATAGCAATTTATTGTGATTTTAGCTAAAAATATACACAATTTATAATCGACTTAATTATTAGTCAACAAATTGCCGGACTTTGTGTCTCTGAATAGCGGCCTTTTCTCCTTCAAATGTAGGGCCAGTTTCACGTATGTCTGTCCACTCGGCTCCGGGAATATCATTTTGGACTTCTCTGAGACAGTAGTCTCAGTGCCCAGCCTTTTGGTTAACATTATCTTTAAATCATAGCAGCATTTGTACAGTAATACTAAGACAACCAGTAATGTGAGGAAAGGTATGATAACGTATTGAAAGGTCACTATAATTGTCTCGAACCACCACTCGGTGTCCGAAATCTGGTGATAATTACGGTCCAAATGAGCGACCGTTGAATTCAAATGACTTATACTTTCATTACTTATCAAAAAGTCTAAACTTTTCATTTCTACACCACTTGACTGTAAATGATTACGAAATGAATGTCAATTTTAATATTTTTATTTATTTGTATAAAAATGGTCACAAATAAGTCATTTTTTAATTAATTAAAATATTAGTAATCTTGTGTTCAAAATGAAATACATTTGATTTCGTATTACATATCAATTCATATTACCGTATGTTATATAAAAGTCTCGTTTTAAACAATTAATAAACAAAAAATTAATGAATCATTGAATAAAAAATTCCCATAATTAGCAAAAGGGTTATAATAATAATGAATACAATGTTTAAGAGATTTTCTCATAAGAAAAACAACAAAATTTGAAATAAAAACTTGTGATTAGTATCATAAGTGTATATTTGATTAAATGCTCAGTCAAACCAGAAATTAAAATAAAAAACAAAAATAAAAAATCATCAAATAATTGATTTGCAATAAACTGGACTTAAAATAAAATTAAAAAATGAATCAATAAATCAAAAGATAATAAAAATTTAGAATTTGATTAAAAGTCAAAAATAGATTAAAAACTCAAAACTAATGTTTAGATTTGAAAACATAAAACACAAAACTGAGAGTAAAATGAAACTAAAATCCAAACTAAAAAACTCTTTATATTAATGAGTCGACTGTCGCCACAAACCCATCAAATCGGTGGCCAATCACTCAGTAATGGCCGCGAAATAGCTGTTGCTGTGAGTGGGGGCTGACACGGGATTGCCTACCGGTTTGCAGCGAACCCTTATTCAGGGGACTATAGAGGGGAACGTTGCTCACAGGGGGGCAGAAGTCGGTACTCATGGGACGGGGTCTCTGACCGATGCCCACCGGCTGTTGTAGACCCAGATTCTGCTCCTCAGTGGTCAACACCTCGACAATGGTTTTGATGATAATCTCGTCGGACGGCGTCATCGGCTTCGACGGCGAACACATGCGCCGGAAGAACAAGGAGTTCCACTTCTGGCGCAACTGTAGCGTATAGTTGGCGACCCGGGGGTCCAGTTTGAACGCCAACCAGTTGTCCACTTTGAACACAAACTTCTCCTTATCGGTCGACCCCTCACTCTCGCTGTCGCTCTCGATGTTATCGAAACGGGGTTTCCAGAGATTAGACAAATACGAGTCGATGGGGGTCTGGATGTTGCCGGCGAATAGCGCTATAGTGATGGGAGAGACGACAGTACAGCACTCGACGAAACAGGTTTTGCCGGTTTTGGTCATCGCATTAAACAGCAGCCAATCGGTGGGCAGTGTATCCAAGAGTTGGGCCCGACTTTTGTCGATACTTTCCTTCAGTGAACACGTGTTGAGCACAGAGTTCGGGTGGAAGCGGACGCCCACCTCATCGCTGGTCACCAGCTTCTGGCGCTCTCTGTCCACACGGACTATGTATGGGTAGCCGCCGGCGCAGAGGGCGGCCTTCACGACCGCCCAGTCATCGGAATTGGTGTTCAGATCGCGTATATCTCCCGCCCCGCGCGCCCTCACGAAGCCCGAGGCCCTGAGCTGACCCAAGAGTTGGGCCCTCGCGTTGACGATCATCTCCATCGCCGCCGAGGAGATGAAGTTCTGGTCGCAGAACTGGCGCTCACAGGCGTCGTGTTTGGCTTTTTGCCAGTTCTGGAAACCCCTCAACAGTATCATGTGATCGCTCAACGTCTTGGCCGACAGCTTCTTACGCATAGCGAACGCCGTGCGGCGCCGGGAGGCCTGCGATTGCGGCACAACGACTGCAATGGCATATCAAAGGCATTAGTAATAGAAATATGGTTTTCATGAGTACTGATGAGACGCACAGGGATTACGATAGGATAGCGAGCACACGATGGTGAGCACCGGATCCAAGCACTTGAGTACAACTGAATACAAAAGCATTTTCCCTAAATTTGGTTCAATCGGGAGATCCAGTAAATGGAGTCCCAATTGAGTCAACTGTTCGTTCGCTTCCAAGGCGTCGATAGTCTGTCGGAAAAACACAATTAAAAATCAAATCAACGCTAAAACCATTCAGTGATACAAACCTTCAAGAGTTGTACGGATTTCCTAATTGTCTCAATCGATGGCGACTTCAACGCCTTCATCAAGAAGTCGGCGATCGATACATCGTTTGGCGCCAAGAGTTTGGTCTGTAGGCAGAGCTCATAGATAGACATCCGGTTGATGTCCGCCACCGGGTATTCATCGAAACGATTGAACCGATTCTTGTCGTACAGATGGAAGCAAACGCCGGGTTTGAGACGATTGGCACGACTTCGCCGCTGAATGGCATTCGTCTTCGAGATCCACTTCAACACGTGATACGAGAATCCAGTCCTCGCGTCGAACACCTTTTGGCGCACTTTCCCGGAATCGATGACAAACACCACGTCATCGATAGATATATTGGTTTCGGAGATATTTGTCGACAAAATAATTTTGCGGATTTCCGGAGGAATGCGTCGGAAGACTCGTTTGAGATCGTTGTGAGGCATCTGTGAGTACAGCGTAAACAACGCGTATTTGTTGGCATCAAATCTCTTCGTATCACTCATTATCCGTTCCCTCAGTTTCATTATCTCGTCATAACCGGCGAGGAATACCAGTATCGACCCATTGGCTTGCATTGGGAACAGATTGTGATCGTTAGTGATAATGAAATGAATCAAATGGCAGATCAGATTCATGTCCACATCGACTCTATTGCTATCGACGAGGGAATGGTAGTAGAGATTCAGTAACTGCTTATCCTCTTCGGACAGCTCCGGACTGTTGAAGACATTAGCGATGTCTTCGGTGATCATCACATTCCCGATGCACTTGGAGTACGTCTCCAAGAGCTCCGACATCTCCTTGTG